TCTTCTTCTTCTTCTTCTTCTTCTTCTTCTTCTTCTTCTTCTTCTTCCTCTTCTTCTTCCTCTTCCTCTTCCTCTTCCTCTTTCTCCTCCTCCTCCTCCTCCTTCTCTTCTTCTTTTTTTCCTTCATGCCCTGGCTGCCATGCTTGCTGCTTGTTGCCTTGATGGACTCTGCCACTCTGGAACGATAGGCCCAAACAAAGCCTCTTACCTGTTGAGCCATCTTGTCAGCCGTGACTCCCACTTTCTATTTCCCATTTAATCCCAAGTTACTTAGATGAGTGTTAGATAAAATATGACCTTATGTAAACACGTACAGACACGAATAATAAATTTGTTGATTGGGTTATTTGTAAATTTTTATCTGCCCGCCTGTAAATTTGCATAACAATTATTTCCTTGGAATCACAGCTCTCAGAACTGGGAGAGTGGGGGTTGGGGGTGTGGCTCACTGAGAAAGCGCCTGCCTCTCATGCTCGCCTGGGTTTGATCCTCAATGCAAAAATGGGTTCCCTTCCAACCACTCAGCGGGAAGGCTTAGCGTCCAGCTCCTGAGAAGCAAGTATCTCCCTATAGCGGCTGGCCAGATGGCTCAGTGAGTGAAGCTGTATGTTGTTCAAACCTGTTGACCTAAGTTTATGCCCCAGGACCCACAGATAGAGGGAACCATCTCTCCCAAGCTCTCCTTTGCCCTTCACTCTAGCACACAGACACAGAAACATACACATACAAAATAATAATAACAACAACAACAACATGGGGGACCTTGACGTCATCAGATCCAGAGAAGCACTAGTTTATCATGCCAGGGTAGAGTAGAGATGTTGGAAGCAGTGAGCGAGGACTAGAGCCTGGAGCACTGGAATGGAACTCTAAACAGGATGTTACTCAGGGCAGATGTGCCTTTTCCTTCCTGCCTGAAGACAGGCGACATGGATAACACGGCCCAGGATCCTCCTGTGTAGACCTGCTGTCCCTAATTTGAAGGCTGTCTATACAGCCCAGAAGGCACCTACTTCTGTTCACTCAGAGACGTGGAAATTGAAAATGTCAACTTGGAGAGGCTGCTTGAAGACGTTAAAGGGAAAGCTGGTGCATGAGAGTACATTTGGGGCGCCCTCTCTTTCTGGGAGCTCTCCAGTCATCCTTGAAGTCATGGCAACTCCAGTCATCCTTGAAGTCATGGCAACTGTATCCTTTTCAGCCTCAGGTGAGGTAACACAGCAGCCTAAGATGGCACCAGGAGAAACGCTGTCTATTCACATGTGGACTCCCAACTCGTAGACTTGCTGGATTCTGTTTTAATCCTTTTCGACTTGCCAAAGCCTCATGAGTCATGTTGTTTAAAATGGAACCAGCTCTTCCTGATTGGAAGCTATTTCAAGTGTTAATTTTGGAAACACTGTATTAGTTTAGGATCCAATGCCGCAGTTCAAAATGACACGCCAATGAAGAGCGAGCTTGTTCGGATGAATAGCAAATGGTTCGTGGATCGTGCCTAGGAAAAAAGCTCTCCCTCTTCCTAATTTTATACTCCCTCTTTAAAAAACTATTTTTAGTTATGTGTACATGTCTTCATGGGGGTGTGTGCACCTGAGCACGGGAACTCTGGGAGGCCAGAGGTATAAGGTCCCCTTGAAGCTAGCGTTATGAGGAGCCACCTGATGTGGGCGCTGGGAATCAAAACCAGGTCCTCTGGAAGAGCAGCAAGTGCTCTTAACTGCTGAATCATCTCTCCAGGCCCCAATAGTCTCACCCAACCCCCCTTTTTTTTAAAATCAAACTCACTAAACTAATGGTTTTCTCTGAGTCCAGGTCTGCATTCTGTCTCTTGATTCTTTGGGATTGCATACTTATGCAGCAGACTTCTATGCTTCAGCGTTTCTATGTTTTTAGTATTTACACCACAGGCATTTTGTTGGCTGAGCATCCTTCCAGTCCGTGTGTGTGTGTGTGTGTGTATACATACATACATTATATATATATATATATATATATATATATATATATATATATATATATATATATATTTAACCACAGGGTCTTACTATGTAGTCCAGGCTGTCCTGAAACTTGCCACAAAGACCAGGCTATCCTCAGACTTGCAGTGGTCCTCCTGCCTCTGCCTCCCACAGTACAGGGATTACAGACATGAGCCACCACGCCCAACTCATCTTTTTGTTCTTGTAGCCTCAATTATCAGAACAACTCAGACTACATTAAAATTCTGAGAAACTGAGTCATCTAAGTAATTGCCTTCAGTTGACTCTTTAGTTTCATACAGTATTGAAGGCCCGGCCCAAAGCAGAGATTCAAAATCTGATTGAGGTTTTTGTCAGCTAAAGCCAAGATATTATAGAAAAGTAAACTCTTCCAAAGAAGTAAGTCTGCTTCCTCCAGGCACCTGCCTCCTGGCGAGCCCAGCTTCATTGGGATGCTGTTCTGTGCCCCTCTCCCTGGTACAAAGCAGGACTCCTTGCTCCTGCCTTTGTACAAGCTCAGCCTGAGTCTGGCTTATTTTGTGTCCTTACACCAGAAGCCCTTTGGACCAACAGCAGTCTCCGTGGTGCCCGAGACATCAAAACCGGTGGTATGGTACCCTGCTTGGCCTGAACCTGCATTAGCTCCAGGGCAGTAGGAGGGAGCCTCAGTTAGTCCAGCCATTGCCCAACAGGCCTGGATTTGCTCTTGCAACATTGGCTCTAAGTTCACAGCAGCTGTTAGGAAGGGATGGCATCTGTAAGTCCCACGCGTAGCCCTGGGAGAGAGTCTACCGATAAAACTACTCATTCGGTAATTTGTGCATTATCAAAGCAATCATTGGTAAATGCTAGGCCCTTACCTAGGAATAAAGGGTAGGTCAGAAAATCACGTCTCATGGAGATTCGAGGAACAGTCATACTTAGTGAACTGGGTCAGAATGATTGCAGAATGATGCAGGGGCTATGAGGAGTTAATGATCAATGCATTCTGCATGACTCTGAAAGCCAGACCACCTCAGTTCAAATATTGCTCTGTCATTTATCAGCTTTGTGATCTTGGGACTCTGTGCCTCAGTTTCCTCCTCTGAAAAATGGGGGTAACAGCGCCTGGTTGGCAGGGTTGTTGACACATTTAAATGAGTTAATGTATGAAAGGTACTTTAAACAGGGCAGGGGTCAGGGTGAGCGTGTCACCTGGGTGCTAGCTCGTCACGCCTGTTGGGTAATGCGGTATCACGAAAGCTAAGCTTGGGGGGCCAGCGTCCTAAGAGACAGATGGTGGCCAGGGGCATTTAAACTCAGTCCTGAGGTGAGACCCCAGCTGAGGGGAGAGTCTGGGACAGGAGGTAAAGGCACATTGGGGTGTCTGGGTTCAGAGCTCAATGGATCATTTCCAGTGGCCTGAAGTCCTAATGGGGCCTTCTGTGTTTCTGCAGATGACAGAGGAACATGCTTGCTGTCTTCCAGGGCCCTGGGGCTCCCAAGGAATGGAGGTGACAAGTCTGCCAAGGGCAGGGCCACAGGAGGCCACCTCCAAGGAGTTCAGTGATCTGGTCTCTATGATGTGAGTCCTTTCCCAGGGGCCTTCCAGCACTTGGTATCAAGCCTGAAATGGAATGGGGTGGGGGTCTGCTTCGCCTGGCCACACAGTCCAGAGCCAGAGGGGAAGGGTCCCACACAGCAAAGAATGACAAAGGTGGAGCAACTGCAGGTGGCTCCTTCTGCTGGCCCAGGAGCACTGAATTAAATTCCCACGGGCCCTCCACCAGCTGGAGAAGGAAGTTCAGAAAATTGTTGACATGCGCACTGCCTTTTCTTCCTTTTTATTTAAAACAAATAAACAAACAGCCCCAGCAGCTGCTTACCTAAATAGGCCAAGGGTGGATATAGCTGCCCAGGATTAAACTGATCAAAAGACCATCAGGCTGCCATGATCCTGTGAGCATGTTCCCTGATGCTCATTCTGTTGCTTCTTTATCTAAAATTTGTTTCCAAGACTGTGACACACACCTGCAAGTCTAGCTGCTCTGGAGACTGGAGCAGATGTGTCCCAAATCCAAGGCCTGCCCGGTTTGCAGAGTTCCAGCCAGGGCAACTTCATGAGCCCCTGTCTCAAAAAGCCCAGGTGGGCTGGGCCCGCCCACATCAATCGTTTAATCAAGAAAATGCCCCACCAGCTTGCCTACAGGCCAGTCCGATGGAGGCATTTCCTCTTTCCATGACTGTAACATGTCAAGTTGACGAAAATCAACCAGTACTAATTATATATAATAGGCAGGAAAAAAAATACAATAACTCTGTTGGTTGGGAGTTTGGGTTTGTAAAGGCTTTTCGCCGGGGAGGAATACTTTACAAAGGTGAGACACGCATAGTTGACCGGTTTCTTAGAATCCCATCTCAGCACGGAAGGGGATGGATCACACAGTGCCCAGAACCTTCTGATGAAGCAGGTGGGTAGCGGTGGGCAGGACCCACCTGCAAGGGAATGCCAGGCTCTCCTAGTCCAGCCCAGCCCAGAAAGTCGCTTCTTCAACCTGCTATCTCCCTGTTCATTTGTTTGCCTGTTCCTGAAACTCACCAGTGTTTGTTTGTTGGCTGTTCCTACTTTCTCTTGGACACCAAGCCTGAACCTATATTTGTAACACTGGAACCTCGGTTTTCTGTTGTTGTTTTTGAGGGCCGATAATGGAGAACGGAGAGTGTATAAATGTTGGTGTGGAAATCTTTATTCTGCTCAGTGCTCCGACGAAGAAGCACAAATGGGGTTAAGAACACATGGACACGAGTCACACCGTAAAGGGTCATTCGCAGCTTGGCAACTCACCCCTCTGTGACCTTGTATAATTGTATTCATCATTAAAGTGGAGACGTCAGAGCTAGAATGACAGAAAGTCACAGAGAAGGCTGTAGGAAAAGCGCCTAGGACACAACGGGAAATCAAACACAGTGGTTGTTTCTCTCCACAAAGGAAAAGTAATAATACTGAAGCCCTTCAAAAAAAGAATGAATGAGCAAATAGGATGTGACCTTAAACGCTGTGAGTAGGAAAGAAAACAAAACAAAACAAAATAACCTTACAGGAAACTTTCACTTCCTTTGATATTAGAAACGCCGCTAATTGGCACAGGAGGCCATTGAGGCCTGCTTCCCCCCCCTTAAGTTAGTGAAAACATTTGCAAGTGATAGTTCTTGGTGCTGAGGGAGCTGTGGTTGAAGCTGAGCCACCCACGTCGTTGGCAGCTGTGTAACCCAATGGAGAAACTTTTGGAAAGCGACCTGGCAAAAATGTGTCGTCACACAAACACACTCAAAAACTTTGGCCCAGATGTTTCCTCAGGAAGTAATCCAAAATGTGGAAAAACCTACATGTTCAGTATTGCTTGTGCCAGCACTGTTTATAACGGTGAAAAGGGGACGTTTGTGTTCTGTTTGCATGAATGGCAAGGCCGCAGTCAAAACCACATGGCTGGTTGCTTTTCAATTCGTTTGTGCAACTGTATGTGTTTAAAGGTGTTTATGTGTGTTTCCATCATTTAGGCTATCAGTAGTCCCTAGATCTTGTATTGATTCACGTGTGAATACCTTTCTTTGGAAAACAAACAAACAAAAATCAGCTTTGAGCCGGAGTACCCAGTGGTCAGACTGGTTTAAAATTTATCTTCTAGAGGCTGGGAGAGAGCTCAGTGGGTAAAGTGCTAACTGTGTAAGCCTGGTGACTCAGATTTGGTCCCTGGAGCCCATGTGAAAAGACAGCTGCGGTGGCTTTCCTGCAGAGAGGGGAGGTGGCGAACAGGAGGGCTGGGTGCCCTACACAGAAACGGGAGGCCTGTCTCAGCAAGGTGGAAGTCGGGACCCTCAAACTTGTCCTCTGACCTCCACATTCACGCTGTGGCATGTGACACACATACATACACACGCATACACACACACACACACACACACACACACACACACGCACGCACACAGACACACACCTGCAAATGCTAGGGATACAGACACCTGCAGCTATGCTGTGCATTTGGTAGGGGCTTGGGGATTCAAATTCAGACCCTCGTGCTTGTTCAGTAAATATTCTTACCCACCCAGTCACATCCCCAGCCCCAGGAAAGACCTTTGCCTACCAGGGATGGCAGGGCAAGTGAGAGCAAGTCTTCAGATCTCCCCACGCACACGTGGCCTTTCCTGTTGGGTCTCACCTGAGCCCCTCAGTCTCGCTGGAAACAAGCTCATTCCTCTCCTCAGGGCAGACCTTTGAACTCCCAAGGAAGAAATCCTCCCGTGTCAACAAGCCGTAAGCCATAAAACCCTAAAGAGAAGCCATTATGAAACACCCACTGGAACAACAGTTGGCCTATGTGGTTTCAGGACATTTACTTGTTTGTAGTTCCTATCAGTTAGGACAAGGCTCAGCTGATTTACCTGGCAAAGGTCAAGGGTCGAGGAGGGAGGAGCTGTTTTGCAACTGCTGTTTAAGTACATAATGAGCCCAATAAGTGTGGATGACAAGGTCCGGAGGACTGTAGCTTCCTGTTAGGAAGCACTCCTCCATGAGAGCCACCCTTCAGAGGGCTTATTTAGAAGCAGCAGCAGCGTGGGGTTGGGCTCCGGAGGCCCATGCCTTGCCTGGTGTGTCGGACTCTGGAGTGCTTCAAGCCTGGGTCAGCTCTGAGATCCTCCTAAGCACAGAGCGCCACCGAAGCTTACTCACCCAGGCAGCCCAGGCTTGTGTGTACTGAATTAATTAGCAGCCCAGACTTGGGATCCTTAAAACATACAGATTTTTATTAGGTCTGGTGAAATATTTTGACAGTTATAAAAAATCACACAAGTGACTCCACGGTGGGAAGTCATGATATACATGGCTGAGGAATTGAAATCTTGGTAACATAATTGCCCTGAGGAATCATTAGCTGAAGAGGAAGCTGTGCGCTTTCCATTAAAACCTCCATTTGCTGTGGTCGGCGGGTTGTGTTCTTTCTGACGTTTGATGACACACAAGTTGAAAACTGCCTGAATGTAAAAACGCCGGTGTGACATTAATACGTTCTGAGTGTTGTTCGTGAGGCAGGGCTTGGGATTGGAGAGTAAATGTTAGCTGCTTTGGCCTACTGAAAAAAAAAAAAAGGCCTTCTCCAGGAGAATCACTCCCGGCTGCTCCGCTTGGCCAGATGTGTGGAAAGGAGTCTGGGAGCGGCAGAGAAATGCAGTTGATGCGCTGGACTGGGCTCGCTTGAACGACATCCAAGCTTTCCACTCAGGGAGCAGATGCTCCCAGGCCCCAGAGGCACAGGGTGGAGACAGAAAATGAGGTGTGAGAAAATACATGACTCAGGAGGAGAGCATGTTTTTCCATGAGGAGGGAAGGGCTGGAAAGGGCCTGGCTTTCCAGTCCCAACCCCAGAAACCCCAAATGGGGTCCCTTCTCCATTACTGTCGGCCTTAGGCACAGCTGGGCGGACCTGTGTTTGCTCAGCAATCCTGTAAATTTTTCAGGCAGCCCTGGGCAAGCCTGAGCCATCTGTAGCAGGGTGTCCTGCACACCGTACCTTTTACGTACCTTTTACCTTTAGGATGCACGCTTTCCACCAGGGTCTGTAATGTAGCCCGGGGGTGAGCAAGAGAGTTGTTAAGAGCTGTTATTAATTAAAACTATTTTGGAGGGGTCACAGTCTGTGTGAAGGGAGGCTGAAACTCCTGATTGTAGCTGCGTCTTTCTGGTGCCCCCTGGTGGCCACATGCTGTAACGTGCACTCCAGGCCCCCAGCGTTATCCCCTTGGACATACACAAAGCCCACTTTGCGGGATTCCGTTTAGCTCGTACTTAGAGCGATGTGACCCAGTACTAACGGACAGCACGCTTCTTCCTCCAACAAGAACTGTTCTGAGACAGGTGTGGTGGCTCGGCCTGAAGTCCCAGGACTCTGAAGGTCGGAAGCAGGAGAATTGCTGTTACAGGCCAGCCTGGACCAGTGTGAGAAATTGCCTGAAAATGAAAGCAACCAACCACCACCAACAAAAAATCCCCAACACCCGCCCCCGCCAAGATGATAAGATGATTTTGATAGTGTTATGAAGAAAACACCAGTTCTTAGAATTCTATACTGCAAATTCCTTTTAAAAAATACACATTCTTTTCACATTTTAAAGTTGTGTGTGTGGGGGGGTGTGTGTGTGGGTGTGTACATGTGCCATGGCATATTTGTGGAGGTCGACTTGTAGGTGTCAGTTCTCTACCTATGTGGTGCAGGTAATTAGGGCTCAAACTTAAGCCACTAGGCTTGGTGGCAAGTGACCTTGCCCACTGAGCTATCTCACCGGTCTGGAGAACATCAGAGAAAATTTAACACTTTAAGACCTCTTTTGTTTTGTTTTTGGTTTTTGTTTTGTTTTGTTTGAGACAGGGTTTCTCTTTGTAGCCCTGGCTGTCCTGGACATGCTTTGTAGACCAGGCTGGCCTACAAACTTTATTTTTATTTTATTTTTAAGGAAACAGAAAATAGAGAAAAGAGACCACAGAAGGACCAACTGTGGGAAGCTTTCCAGTACCATCCACGGAAAAACACCGTACCAGGATTCATCTCTCAGTAAGCTGGAGCGGCTGGGTGTACGCAGTTGTCAGTGGTCCCTCTCTGCGGGGGTCTGCCCTCGGCGGGCGCCGGCTGGCCATCTGCCATGGTGACAGCATGACGTTTGACTAGGAGGGTGTTTGTTTCCCTTTCCAAAAGGTAAAGAACTAGGAATGCGCTATTTAACTCAAGGATGGTTAAGCAGAGCTAAGTGCCAAAGCATGCGTCTAGACGGGATCTGTGCCCGTCACCTAGGCCTGGTAAGGTGACGAGCCCTAGGTGCTGTGGACTCAGCCACAGGCATCGAACAGAGGCAAAGAAAGCCGGGGGAGGGAGCAGACCAAGAGGGCATGACTACATGAGATTAAATGACTTCAGTCATAAGATCCTTGCCCAATAGACAATTTAAATAAATCTGAGAAACGTGCTCTTGCCAAACTGCTGAGGGTGATGGAGAGGTGACCCAGAGGCCTGCCGTCTGAGGCAGCTCCCACCGGCTTCCGTGGAACTAACCATCCTCCTGGCCGAGCTGGAAGTGCAGGCCAGCTCGCTGACACGACATTGCTTATACGCATGTCCCCTGTGCCCAGAGCCCTGAGGGCCACTCAGCATTCTGTTAGGGCCCACTGGACCTCTCTGAGGATGGTCTGTTTTCAAATAATAGCGTTGGAGGGCTGGAGAAATGGTTCATCAGTGAAGAATGCTTACTGTTCTTGCAGAGGATTAGGGTTCCGTTCCCAGCACTCAAGTTTGGGAGGCTCACAAGAAGTCTAATGCCTCTTCTGGTCTCCATAGACACCTGAGTACACACACACATACACACACAATCTTCAAATAATAGGCTTCATGGACTGAACACTTACTAAACTCGATGCCTATATCAGGAGTTTTCAAAGCCCTTTCAAGGATGTCCTTTCTTTTTCCTCACAGAACTGTACTGTAGGGGGATGTAAGGCCAGCATTGTAACGGGGCGGCAGGGACGCAGCCTTGGGGCCCAGTTAGTTACCAAAGACAATTGCCAAAGCATAAAAGGGTGACACTTTTCTCATTAGCTCTGGGTTTCATTTTTGAAAAAAAAAATTTTTTTTTTTTACTGAAAATATATTACGTTGTTATCATAAGATGTATTCATTACTTTTATTTAATTTTCGAAGGGTAAGTTTTGCCATGTTGCCTGGGCTGTCTCCGAACTCAGGGGCCCTTCGGCTTCAGCGAGGTGGTTAGGGTAACAGGCAGGTGGCACCGTGCCCACTTCCTGTTGCTGTCTTGATGGTGCAGAGGGCTGAACCCCGGGGCTTCACACACGCTAAGTAAGAGCTCTGCCCTTGCCCCTCGTCCAGCCCTTGTTATTTTTGAATGAAATAATAAAGTATTTGTAATGCCTCAATTTTAAACTTAAAAAAAAAAATCCTTAGAACTGTTCATTTAGCTTTAGGAAGATATGGATACTGAAACGTTTTACTCTTTACATACCGACATACCTTTGAGGGTCAGTCTGCAGCTGGAGGACCAAATATCCTATGACGATTTTTTTTTTTTTTTTTTAAACTGGGAAAGGCCTTTTGTTTTTTGAGACTGGGTCTCATGTGATCCAGGCTTGCCTCAAACTTCCTATATAGCTGAGGCTGGACTTGAACACCTGACCTTCCTGCCTCTGTCTCCCAAGTGGGAGAATTTTTTTTATGGGAAATAAAATGTTTTATTTTCTTATATACAGTAGATAAGAACCATGTGAACACAAGTTATTTAATGCCCCCACCTTTTGAGACAGGGTTTCTCTGTGTAGCCCTGGCTGTCCTGAACTCACTTTGTAGACCAGGCTGGCCTCAAACTCACAGAGATCCACCTGCATCTGCCTCCCGAGTGCTGGGATTACAGGCATGCGCCACCACATCCGGCCTTATGGTCCCCTTTTAAAATAAGACGTATTTATTTATTTGAGGCAGGGTCTCTCTACATATATCTGGCTGTCCTGGAACTCACTGTATAGACCAGACTGGCCTCAAGCTCACAGAGATCTGCCTGCCTCTGTCTTCCCAGTGCTGGGATTAAAAGTGTGCACGACCATGCCTTATTTGTTTTTATGTGCATAAGTATTTGACTGTGTGTATAAACATGTATGACATGCGTATCTCACACTGGTGGGAGCCAGAAGAGGGCGGCAGATTCCCCTGAAACTAGTTTAACAGATGGTTGTGGGTGCTGGGAACCGAAAACCCTTCTGCAGGAGCAGAAAATGCTCTTAACTTCTGAATTAGCTCTCCGGCCCCTTGAGCCCTTGATTTTAACGTAAAGGGTACTGGCATAATACCTATTACTCTAACTCCTTTGTAAGCTGGGAATTACAGATATAACATATTTGTAAGGAAACACAGCTCAGAGGATTAACTTGCCCGGGGCAGAGACCCAGTGTCTCAGTCATCTCCCGCTTCATCACAACGTACTCCAGGACCCAATGACTCAAAGTAGCAATCTGGTTCCCGAGTAGGCAACTCATGTGGTTGCTGACAGGGAGACTCAGAGGCACCTCCAACAGGCCATCTGTTTGTCACTGGGATACGGCAGCCAGCTTCATTACAAGCAAGGGACAAGGCAGGGATGAGCGAGGAGGGTTGAGGCTGTTGTTACTGCTTTGTTTTGTTAGACACGAACCCACACTCAAGGGTTCAGACAAACACCTTCCTTTTCCCCATAGTGCAAGAGACCCAGGGCATTGGATATGCCAGGCAAGTAGTCTACTGGCAAATACCCGAACCCAGGCGCCATCTTTCAAAGCGACTATCAGCCTGACGTGGTGATGCACACCTTTAATCCCAGCACTCAGGAGGCAGAAGCAGAGGCAGGGGGATTTACATGAGTTTGAGGTCTACAAGCCTGGTCTACATAGTGAGTTTCAGGACATAGCCAGGCTGTGTAGAGAGAGCCTCCCTTGACAGATAGATAGGTAGATAGATAGATAGATAGATAGATAGATAGATAGATAGATAGATAG